TCTCCCCTCTCCCATCTGCCTTCTCTCCCCTCTTTCCTCCTTCATTCCTTCTCTTGCATTCTTTTCATTGTTTGTTTTTATTACAAACCCGTTTAATTGGTTCCAGAATTGTAGTACGGTACCGTGAAAAGTTCATGGGCTACATCCAAGTATTTCTGTTAATGTTAACAGTGAGTAGGAGAGTCTGTTCTGTCGTAACAGTTCAGAATGGCCTTTCCTAGACATTAGTATTCTGAGAAATAAGCTGAATAGGAAATGACAGAGGAATGACATCTTATTTATGTGTTCTGAGCATCACAGCACACAAAGGAGACTGGGGTCCAGCGTGTCATTGCTGCATTCCCACTAACTGGTACACATTGAAATTCTTACTCTAGAATTACGTGGTGGTATGAACTGAACTGTTGCCCTCCAAAATCCAATGTTGATGCCTTAACCTACAGCGTGACTGGATTTGGAGATAGGGACTTTAGGAGGGAGTCATGTTACATGCGGTCATAAGGAAATGAGCCTAATCTGATAGGACTGATGCAGTCTAAGTGGTAAAGGAAGAGAGACACACATGCTCCCTTCTCTGGGACCTCAGACCAGCTCATGTCAGCCCATCATCTTCTGCCTAAGGGGAGTGCCTTCACCAGACACCTATCCTGCTCGTGCCTTGATCTTGGCATTTCAGTCTCCAGAATGTGAGAAAATAAGTTGCTGTTGTTTAATCCACCTGATTTATGGTATTTGTTGTGTCCGTCAAAGCAGACTAAGACACATGGTAAAAATAATTGATTCAATCACACCAAAAAGCAGATCTCTCCTTTTATATAGGCTTTGCTTGGGAAAGCTATGGCCTGTCCTACTGGATAATCTTAAATAGCCAAGAAGAATTTCACCTGCAGTTAAGTTAAAGGCAGCAAATGGCCCTTTTGACTTCTGGGAAGTGGTGTCAATGAAAACGCAAGATTTTTACCCTACGTTCTATTTTATGTTAACAGTAAATCATCATCTTTCCTTTTTGTGCTTTTGGAACAATTCTGTTATTCACAGAAAATGCAAAATCGTGCTACCCAGTTGAGATTATCATTTAAAAGATATTTTTAGATTTCAAGTGTCCATTACCTTTGTAGTAGGAGGCAGTGAGTGAAAGACTGAAACAGACTTAAAAATCCTGAAGAAGGGTTCCCACTGGTACTTTGTTGTGATGTGTTCAAGGAGAGGAAACGAAAATGAACAGAAAAGATTTATATTTCATTTCATACCAATTTGAAATGAAAGATTGGAGAGAAAGAATTCACGTGGTTAGTGAAGGATATTCACAGAAGTGTTTCATCAAGCTTTTGACAAGCCCCTTGTTCATTTTGCAAACATGCATTTAAAAATGAAACAAGGGACCAAGTATTTTTGTGGATTTGACCTGAACTGAGCAAAATTGTCATTTGGATATCATCCAGCAATGTCAAATCTTAGTTTCCTTCATTTTCCATTTACTTTATGTCATAAATGGTTCTTTATTAAAATAAATTACATTTTTAAAAATGATCAAAATTCAGAATCTCTTAATGTCTTGGGATTAATTTAAGCACACTTTTTATTGCTTTCTAATAAGGAATGTGCGCCAGAGCCAAGAGGTGCCAGCATGTGTTTCATCATTGGCTAAGAGAGCATAACAGTTAATTTGAGCACTATGTGTAATTGTCTTCAGAAGAACTTTTTTCATAGACATACACTCACATATAAAGAACTTTACTTGCTTATGTCAATATTTAGTTGTGTTTCAAAGCCTATTTAACTAATGCAGTCTTTGTTGGGGTTCATCAAACAGACTGGTCACTTATATCTTTTGCTTTCAAGATTGTTAATATCATCTTGGTACATAAGGAACTTGAATAAGTTAAACACACACACAGATTATTCACTGGTAGGAGAATTTAACCCAACATAGTTGACTGTTGCTTGATGACCCGTAAGCAGAAAGCACCAGACGGGAGTTTTCTGTCTTTGAGTCACATGACTAACAGTAACATTTTAAAACTCAATTGAATCTTAGACAACTAATGATAATACCTGTGACAAGTTACATTTATTTGCTTATTGGATTTTAGGTTGAATGCTAAGTATTTTGTATTTATTATCTAATTCACATCTCATGTTTTATTATTTTCATCAGAGAGCTTAACAATTTGAGAATTAGAGTAACTTGTTCGCGTTCTCACTTGTTACATAGATACAAAAACAGAAAATGTGACTAAAATCCATTGTACAAACTACTGCATTACACTCCATGCTTCATACGATCAATTTCATTGTCTGTTTTACAGATTAGGAAACTGAGGCCCCAATTATTGAACTAATCAGGTAATAACTAGTTTCTTAAATTGAATAGCTGCTATTAGCATTCAAAACTAAGATTCCCAAGTTCAAGTTTACTTTTCATTGCACAAGCTGCCTTCTTAGGTAAAGCCTATCAGTCCGCAGTGCCCATTCTTATTTTCAGAACATTATGGAGTATTCACTAACAACATAGCTTTAAAATAATATTGAAAAAGCCGAACATACTGACTGGTATCATCTTCCCAAGAATTTAAGAAGAACTTAAATGGAATGAGGTTTATTTCATCTGCTGATATACAGTATGTTTAGCTTAATTTCCATTTTGTTTCCATTCATTCTTGATACTGCAATGTAAGAGGCATAGAACTGCTGTATTAAACAAAATGTACTTTTTTTATTTTCAAGTATGTTACTTGAAATTAAGAAAACAGTGTCATTCATATATTATTTTTGTATCATCCTATGCATACTTTAGATACCTAATTTTTCTTCTAAATGAAATCAGGCTTTAAATAAGTCATGGGTCATGGTAATTAACTTTTTTAAAATGGATTTTTATGAACCATTCTTTTCATTTCATTTTGGTTCATCATACTTGATGTCAAGCATAATTTATAATGTTTGTTTTGCTGCATTTTTTTTCATGATTTTACTGTGTATCCATTTTATGGTGTATCCATTAGTACTGTTAAAAAATCTCGTGGTAAACTAGCAGCTAGATTATTATTTTTCCAGGTTATACTTGTCTCCTTATAGGAACATCTAAATGGATAGAGTCAGACGAAAAAATATACATGATAGAATTATTTAGATGTTATAACGTGAATGGCCCAGAAATAGCTGTACTGTAGCCCGTCTGCCTGAAGGTGTGCTTAAAGACTACACCTGAAAACACCTTGACGTGCAGCGGCTGTGCTGTGAGTACCTGAGAAAGGAGAGATGGAAACAAGGATGACTGAGGTTAGGAGAGGAACAGCAGCTTTTCATGGACGTGATCGAGACAGGATTTATGACAAAACATAGAAGACTTTTTACTTTTAAAAAGACCGTAGGAATCCTCTAAGTGAGTTTTTGATTTTATATATGAGAGAATACTGAATTTATCAAAGAGTTGGTGACTTGGAAGGAATCATTCTGTGACTCCTAGATAAATCATCTTTCTATTAAAACACACGTGGTTTCAGCCATATTTATTGTCAGGGAGGGAAAAAAAGGGGAAAACATTGAACAGGGAAGATGTCAGAGCACCACCTTGGTCCTTTCATTTATACAATTATGCATCATAAGTGGTGTAAAAATTGAAGACATTGATTTATATTGTAAGGTATTACGTATTTTTCTCCATTACTTTTATAAATGAAAAACCTAGACAAGGACTTTTATTTAGAGTAACTGCAGATGGTGGCGTGGATGTGGAGAGAAGAGAATATTTTTACGTTGCTGGTGGGACTGCAAACAAATACAACCTTTTTGGAAGAAAGTATAGAGAACCCTCCACGAACTCAAATTAGACGTCCCGTTTGATCCTGCAATCCCATTCCTAGGCATCTACTCAGAAGAAACAAAATCCTTTTATCATAAGGACATTTGCACTAAACTGTTTATTGCAGCTCAATTTACAATCACTAAAGTGTGGAAACAACCTAAATGCCCACCAACCCAGGAATGGATTAACAAGCTGGGGTATATGTATACCCTGGAATACTACTCAGCCACTAAAAAAGATGGAGACTTTACATCTTTTGTATTAAACTGGATGGAAGTGGAACACATTCTTCTTAGTAAGATATCACAAGAATGGAGAAGCAAGAATCCTATTTTACTTAATTCTGATTTGAGGACAATTGATGACATAGTACATTGTGGGGGATAGGGAAAAGGGGTGCAGAGAGAGGGGAGGGGGGTCATATGGTGACACACCTCTTGGGGATGGGACACAACTATAAGGAGGGACTTTACCTAACAAATGCAATCAGTGTGACCTTGTTCTTTATACCCTCAATGAATCCCCACCAATAAAGAGTAAAGAAATGAAATAACTGCATGGCAACTGATTTTCCTAAGAGAGATGAATGACGGAAATGCTGTAGGAATCAGTTTAGAAGCTGCACATTCTAAATGCAGGTCTGTGTTAGATTGTTAATAATCAGCTAGTATCAAGTATGTGTATAACTCTTCCTGTGTATGAAAAAAAACACTTTTCAATGGGGTGAAAGTGGTGCTAATGATTATGTGTGGAAGAAAATGTAATGATCTAATGACGTGTGTGCATTTCTAAAGCTAACTCCGTATTTTAAACACTTGGTAATGTGGAAAGTAGTGATTTGACATTTGATTGGTCACGTTTGACTTATTTTCAAGGAAAAACGTGAAAAATTGCCTATACTAATATGTACCTTAGGTTATCAAGTATGTTTTTATAGTAGCTCTGGAAGAATCATTTCAGTGTATGTGTGGGTATGTTCGGATCAATACTTTAATAAGTTACACTGTTTGCTTTTGATATTAAGTTGCTATGTGTAGTTTACAGTATTTCCATTTAATAATTATTTTTTCAAAAGAATTATAAGTAGCAACTTAGTAGATTTTTCCATTATTTATCTTCACGAAATAAAAATATGCAACAAGTACATCTTTTTCTCTGATTATGATTTTTGTTTCTCTCTCTCCTTTTACAGAGCTACATTCACGGGAGCAGCCAGGCCCAGTTTGTGGCAGAGTCACATATTATCCTGGTACTGAGTATCCTTTAAAGTACTGAGGAGTGGAAAAGAGCAAACCAAAGCTGCGTGTTCTTAAATTGACATTTTTCTCCTATCAGTGAATATCAGGACTTTTAAAAGACATTAAATTTTAAGAGGTAAAAAAAAATTTTCAGCTGTACTATATGATTAATTTTTAATTCTTATGCTGATTTTTCCTATCACAGTATAATTTTGTTGCTACTCTGAATCATTGACAGACTGGAGTTTCTCTTTTTTACTTACCACTGAGTTTGAATGTATTGCTTTTCTTCTGCATTGATTACCTCTAGCTAAATTTGTTATGAAGTTTATATAGTTTTCTGCCATAGCATCTTAATGGGGAGAAAAAAAGTGCTTTATGATAATAAATATCAACATATAAAAAGAATTATCTTAGTATTGCTTCCCTTAAATATGCAACAAGTCAGAATTAAATGTTGTGTATCAGACTATACATGTAATTTATGATTGGAGTTAGAAGAGTAAGTAGATAGTGGGATTATAAAGAGGTAATCTTTAAGCATCTAATCTGAATATTCATCAAATGAAATAAAGTTACTGTTTGTGGAAACCACTCTATTTGGGGTAAACTTGATGTTTGTGTAGCCTTGTGAAATGGTCAAAGTTTAAATTTATAGTATTATTTGAACATATTAAGTCACAAGAATGTAAAGCCTACTTACAGTATCAGTTATGAACCTTGATAACTATTATACTTACTAAAATTCATATTCAAATGAAGTAGATCAAATTCTCCAGTATTTTATATATCATAGCTCTCATCTAGGCCCAAACAGCATTTTATATTAAGGAAAACTAGAGCCCAGGAAAGTTTATTGACTTGCCTCAGGTATTGACTTGCCTCAGGCTAGAAGAGAAACTAGGATTAGAATTCGGTTTTCTCTTTCATGGTCTATTGATTGTAAAGGTACTTAAGTTTTATATACAAATCTTTGTTATGGTCTGTGACATCTGATTTCATGGATCAGTGTCGGTTGTGCCATCTTAAACTTAACTACTTTTAATCCGGTTGGAAAAGACTATCTTTTTAACAACACTGAAGTTTTTATATTTTATTACTTGATTTCTCATAACAATGCATGTTTTTAATCTGCCAGCAGAGACTTAGTCAGTACCATCAGTTGATTCAAGCACTGAGTTTTATTTACTCATGATGTTCTGGGCACTGTACCAGGTACTAGTATATACTGAGCATTGTGTTAAGTCATGATGAGGAAAAGGAATGGTAAGAGTTTAAAGCACTTCCAACTCTCGGTAAGTTCACACACTTCCTCTTGTGTAAAATCAGGACTAAAGATAGTAACTACCTGGCATTTCTGTGTGACGTAAATGAGATAACACACAGAGGCATCTGATGATTACTACAGACTAGTCGCTTTATTCCCTCCTATATATGCCCGTCTTTTTACTTAGAACTTTGATGCATAAATACATGTTTACTGGTTTGATTCTTCAGCATTTGACAAAGGTGCAAAAGATTAGGAAGAAAATCACAGCCATATTTACCAGAATTCTAAAATTTCCACTGAGCACATATTGAAATGACTTAATTTTCCTAGAATAAAATTGGTTGAACCCGTCTAATAATGTACAAGACAATAAAAGATGCTATTGGAGAGCTTGATCTTGGGAACGAAGTTTGAGAAGAGCGAGGCTGTGAGTCTCCAGTTTATATTGTGGTAAAACTAAACACCGTCTTCTCTAAAACTCATTGAGCAACATACCATCTTCTTCCGGGGTGGTATTTTGATCATTTTAGTTCCACAGTTACCCATGATTAGATGTGTACACGGAATTGTGCATATCTCAGCTTATTCCTTGCTTACATTTTTTTCACTTACCTAGTGCTTTATGGTTTCAAATTTAAGAAACTATTATGGGCTCGGTGCCCATGTCTCAGGGGTTAGAGCGCCGGCCACATACACTGGGGCTGGTGGGCTCAAACCCAGCCTTGGCCTGCTAAGCAATAATAACAACTACAACAAAAAAAAATAGCTGGGCATTGTGGCAGGTGCCTGTAGTCCCAGCTACTCAGGAGGCTGAGGCCAGAGAATTGCTTAAGCCCAAGAGTTGGTGGTTGCTGTGAGCTGTGACTCCACAGCACTCTACCAAGGGCGAAACAGTGAGACTCTGCCTCAAAAAGAAAAAAAAAGAAATTATTATGATGAATATATTTTTGTTCTAGTTTGTCTTGCAGATTGGAGATGGAAATATGTTGATTTGAGTATTCTTAAATTCTGTGATCTTGTTTGGTAAATACTGGATTTCTGCCCACCAGCTTTAATATAGTAAGAGGTTAATACTTTCTGCTCAACAGAAGAACCTTAGGTGATAAAATATTTGTGAATGTGTTTATAGGGATATTTCATCCTTACATAAGGTCAAAGAAAAAACAAGGGCAAAGCTATATTTACTACCACCTTATTTTTTAATTATATAAATGTATTTAGGAAACAAAATACCTTTGCGTTAAATAGTAAGAAGCACAAAGCCTTTATTCCAGGTAAGTTTTTAGCTCTTATTTATTGATATATTGTGAATTCTTTTTTCCCCCTTTAATCCATAGTATAGCATTTTAGTGCTATAGTTTCTTCAAAGTGACAAGTTTGTTAAAACATTATCAGACATAGCTTCCAAAAGGATGAAAAGCCTTGTTGAGATCATCATTTTATTGTATGGCACCAATTCTCCCAAGTAATCATGTCAGGGATCATTGATACCAAGCTGAGATCTAGGATACAAAGGAATTTCACAATCAATATGAAGTTTTTCATATAGATTTTAGCAATAATACATAAAAAATTAAATGTATGCTAACAGTAATTATTTGTTGCTTCATTACTTCTGTGTTTTTATTGTGGAGACATCTATTACAAAGGAAATACAAATATTCTTTTTAAATGGTGAACTTTTGAATATTACCAATGAAAGTTTAGAGGACATTTTGCCATCATTTCTGATTTTACTTGACAGGCTACTGATACTTTTGAAGTAATCACATTTTTTTTGTAATTTGTATGTATACTTTTTCCTTTGTGCAAGAAAATGTAAATACCAGATGATTACATTTTTGTTCATCTATAGAGAACATTTCTGCCTTTCAGTTTTTCTCCTCCTAATTTGTTCAGTCAGATTATTAGATTCAGTTGCTGTTAGTATATGCAAAGTTTATTGGAAAAAAATCCTGAGAGAAAACAGATGGAGTCACTTGGTATCATAAGATAGATTTATTAAGAGTAAAATTTTTACTAAGAGTAAAATTTTTCTCCTGTCAGGTATTTTCTTTCCTCAGTTATTTCTAGTTATTTCAGAGGGAAAAAAGAATCCCAGGTGGTCTGTGAGAGAAAGCTATATGAAAAACAAATAAGAAATACTACGATATTTTAGGATGGAATTTGTGTGAACCATCTAAGAATAACTTATATAATGCCTTGTATTTTTGCTAGTAAAAATTTATTTTTATTTCATCTATTTTTTCATTCAGTTATATGTTTTTCAAACCTTCTGCAAACGTGAATAAGATACCTGCTATTTGAATGAAGGTAAAGCAACCGAAAACACCTCAAACCCTGTAAAATGTAGGTGATCCTCTGTAAGTTGGCTGTAACAGCCTGGTCAACATAGGAAGGCGGTCAGCATGAGGAACCAGGCTGACTATACCGGTACATCCAGGTGGTCTTGTCCCATCTATGAAGAGCAAGGCAGCTTAGGGAAGGGGTTAATGTAGGGAAAGTTCTACTGTAATATAAAGAGGTTTATTCTGAGCCAAGTTTGAAGCCATGGCCTGGAGCCATGCCCAGGAAGCCCTGAGCAAGTGGAGTGACCAGGATTGGATTACACTTTGGTTGTTTTTTTTTTTTTTTTTCATTTCAGGGAGACAGGAATTACATGTAAAGTTATAAATCAATACATGAAAGGCACACATTGGTTTGGTTTGGCCAAAGGATAGGATATTTCAAAGTGGGGGCTTACAGGTATAAGTATGCTTAAAGATTTCTTGATTTGTAATTGGTTAAGGAAATTAAGCTTATCTAAAGGCTTGGAATGTTTCAAGATAAGGAAGTCTATTAATCAGACATAAGCTGCCAGGCATCTACCTAGACTCAGTGATGAGTAAGTAAACTGATGCCCTGCAGGTGTGATTTAAGCTTTGCCCTGTGTAACCTCGGGCCTGGTAACGAATTATAAAGGACATTTCCAAGAAGAGAAAGGGGCACGATGTCTGACCTCCCTCAGGGTAGCAGCTCAGCTTTAGGGTGTTTCTGGGGTCCTCATGGCCAACAGGAGGTCCATTCAGTCACTTGGGGGGCTTAATATTTTATTTTAGTTCACAGGTAGAATGACCCAAGAAGTTTTATAGTCCAGTGAGACGAATGCTGTAATCGGTGCAGGCACATGGAGCAGGGGAGAGTGCAGTTTGCCTTCGTCTCAGTGGACCGTAAAGAGGGAGCAACTTAGTGCCCAGAGAAACTGAACTGACTTTGCAGCTGGTTTTGAAGTAGAAAAAGGAATTTCGCAGACAAGAGAATGAGTGAGGAAAGGGTGTTCAGGAGACAGTATAATGTACAAAATCATAAAATGAAAGAGGATATTCTTTATTGCAGGAACATAAGAAATTTCTTAAGGCTGGGAGTCACATGGTGAGGGCATTGGCGAAAGGTTGGTTAGGTCGGATCCTGAAAACCCTGCTAAAGAAATCCGTACTTTCTCTGAAGGTAATAGAGGTACTGCTGTGTATCTACCAATTCTGTAGATTTGGCTTTAGCTGCCTTATTAATTCCTTATGAAGTATTCTAAAGTTGATCCATGAGTGTCATCTTGATAAATTTGGCTTTGGAAGAGGAAATAGTGGCCTGTATTGTATTTTGCCACGTATGATGCACTCCTGTGTATAACGTGCAGGAAAACGCTTCTCAAGGAAGTGGCCAGCTCGTAGGAGAGACACATCTGGAGGGCGCTGACGCTCCCCTGGTAACCTGTGGATCGCGCTCCGCCTGCAGCTGCCCACTCTGTGAAGGCTGCCTCTCCCCTCTCTCCTGGGAGCCCTTCCCTTCCTGCCATGTGAGGGGGCCACAGCCAAGAGAGCCAGATGCAGGGTGGGAGTGGGGAAGGGGGATGGGTGCGAGGAGCGGGACTGTCTGAGGCTGCTTGGCCCCCAGGCAGCCAGGTGGCTCCCTGAGGCCTGTGCCCTCTGTGCCGTTGAGCCTCACCCCTCAGCCCTGCCACCTCCCCTCCCTGATCATGCCGTGCTCTCACCAGATCGTACTGGACTGAACCCCATGTACCACTGGCCCTGGGGGAGGCCACAGCAGCCTGTGAGGCTTGCTGGGCTCCCCCTCCCAACCTGTATCATTCTTATCCTTATTCTCACCTCAGAAATGTGGAAAAAATGTGTGCATTGTATGTGGCAAAATAAGTTTACCTTACCCCTGCTTAAATGGTAGAAAGTCAGTGGAGATTTGCTTCAATAACAATATGGAGGATAAAACAGAGAAGGGAAAGTAAGAGGCTCTGTCCGCTGTCCTCGCTGTAGAGAATGAGTCTGTACTAAGGTAAAGAATGAGTGAGCGTTTCCCAGTCAAATCAAAACCTCAGTGGTGCACAGACCAGTAATATTCTCACAGAATTGCGTAGTAAGTGTATGTTTCTTATATGTTTCTGAAAGATCATTTTAGTAAAGATATAGTGGATATACTGGTATTTCCTACATATTCTCTCAGAGCTTTGTTCACACTCTACACCCTCTTGTATTACAAAAAAAACCTGAGGGAGCCATGTAAATATCAACCCGCCCATGCATGTGTCTGTCTGTGCAGTGCTGAGGTACAGACGTCGCCAGACCTACAAGGTCTCTGACAGAGACAGAACCACAGCAAGTAATTTTGCAAATAATGATTCAGTTAATGTTCAAAATTCAGTAACACTGAGGCTTGAGACCCATGGATCTTAACTGGATAATTATTAAAATACAAATATACAGTTTTTGAAACCTTAATTGCTTGAATTAATATGTGCATGAAATATATTAATATATAAAGTTATGTATAAAACCTTTTAAATAATTTCGCAGAGTGGAAAGTTTTAATTGTAGTCATCAAAAGATAAAGGTAGGAGGCTGGATGCAGTGGCTCATGCCTGTAATCCTAGCACTCTAGGGAAGAGGAGGCAGGTGGATTGCTTGAGTTCACGACCAGCCTTAGCCTCAGCAAAAGCGAGACCTTGTGTCTACTAAAAATAGAAAAACTGAGGCAAGAGGATCGCTTGAGCTCAAGAGTTGGAGGTTGATGTGAGCTCTGACACCACAATACTCTACCTAGGATGACAGCTTGAGACTGTGTCTCAAAAAAAAAAAAAAGAAACATCAAAGTAGGATATTTCCAGTCTTAAATTTTCTTTAATTTCAAAATATCATACGTGTGTCTTTTAATGAGATAACTTGAAATCTGCTATTCTAACTAAATACACTTTAAAGTATAGCACAATAAAATAGACACGTAATTGTAAGTAGTGATTTGTTTTCATTAAAAAGTAGTTTCATTTCAAAATCCTGATTCCCCTTCTAGAAACAACGGTAAACTTATCGTGGTGTGCGACTGACAGTGGATTATAATGTAATGTAAATGTGTGTTACTAGCTTCATACCGTGCTTAGTGCCTGTGGGTATTGTATATGATTTGCACAAATAGCAGCTTGTGTTTTGCGTGGGATCATGCCAATATTCTGAATTTTTAAACAGTAGGAAAATCATCAACAGGATTAGCAAAGAAACTGGAATGTTCACAGTGGTTGAAATATATATTGCTATGATATTAAAACATACGTGCCAAGTAATGCATAAATGAGGCCAGGTGTGTGTGCACGTGGTGAAGCGTGGAGGCCTAGCTCTTGGTCTGTTAATGCTGGGCCAGTGCAGTAAGGCACAGCTAAATAGCTACACTCATCAGTCTGAGTAACGGAAAAGAATCGGTTTGAGTTATACATAGCGCCTTCTCAGATTTAGAAGGTCTGTACTCATTCCACTTTTCACCCAAGAAAGGAAAGAAACTATAGATCAGTGCTGACAGATGATCATCTAGCTTCCCCATCTAAAACTTAAGATTTTCGTGTTACAAATGTGATTTTTCCCCAAATAATAAATACCATGTAGATTCTTTTTTAGCCAAAAATGTTTTAGTTGATGATATGAAACTTAAGCGAAAAATGTTTTAGTTGATAATATGAAACTCTCAAAGGCCTTAAGTTAAAAATGTCTCTTAAAATAAAAGAGAGGGAAGTTACCAAGCTTATAAGATTATAAAAATCATATACATAATTTTCTGGCACCACATTGACTTTGTGTGAAATTCAAAGAAATGTAAATGAGAAACATGTTGCTCAGTAGTTCTCAAGATGGTGATGTCATGTGCATGATCCCCTCATGGGATGTGAGAGGGAGAGTAGGGACATGACACGGAGACACAGCTGTGGGGATGTGAGAGGGAGAGTAGGGACATGACAGAGACACAGCTGTGGGGATGTGAGAGGGAGAGTAGGGACGTGACAGAGACACAGCTGTGGGGATGTGAGAGGGATCCTTCTCAATAAGGATCCACATCAGTCACATCTGTCTGCTCCAAAACTGAGATTAAGCGTAGAAATTCCCTACGTACTTAGTGATAAGGCTTTTTAATTTCTTCCTTCATTTTATTAGTAGTAGTAACTATAGACTCTGGTAACTTACAGGAGTAGATTGTGCAAAACCCTTTGAGTGTCACAGACCTTCCGGTTGCCCACTTGCCATCACCCGACACGACGGGCCTTCTCTTACAGGGGCGCTTCAGGCCATTGCTCTGTGATTAAAACCCAGTGTTTAGGTAATTACCTTAATTTCAGTGGATTTTATTTATTTTTATTTTTATTTTTTTTGAGACAGAATCTCAAGCGGTCACCCTCTGTAGAGTGCTGTGGTGTCACAGCTCACAGTAACCTCAAACTCTCGGGCTTAAGCGATTATCTTGCCTCAGCCTCCCAAGTAGCTGGGACTACAGGTGCCCGCCAAAACATCTGGCTAATTTCAGTGGATTTTAAACTGCATGTCATGAATCTCTAAAAATTTAGTAGTGATATATGTTACACGTGTGTATGTGCAGTGGAGGGGATTGGCATTTCATTGGCATTGCTGGTGAGAACTTGTTCTCTTCAACTTCCAGACAAAGGTTTTTTTGTTGTTGTTTTGTTTTTTAACCCCAAAAGGAGCTTCAGTGCTAAAAATAGTTTGAAAATCATTTGTGTAAAGAGGTCGGTGTCAGCATAAATGCCTAACTAAGTAAGGCAGGCATTTATTATCCGCTGGGTAATATGGTTATGAAAATAGACATTATTTATTGATAATGAGAAGTTCAATAATATTGTTATGAAAACAGACTCAGCGTGGAATTATTTACTCTGCAGAATCTTCTCTGACCTCCTTCACTTCCTTGTGTAAGACATAGCCCAACGTTATCTCTTGACTTTTCACTGTTAGCAGTGCAAGGCATTTAGAAACATCTGCACAGGAAAGGCATTGACGCCCTGTGTATACTTACAGCACTATGAATTAGAATATAAGGAAATTGTAAAATGAATTAAGAAAATTCAGGGATTTCTGCCTTAGAATTGTTTTGTTTTTCCCTTCATTTTAAAATCTATTAGTTATTTGAGCAGAACGCGTAATAAATATATTTCCAGAATTGATGAATTCTAAAATCTTAACTGTGACATGTCAAAAATGTTTCACAAATGGCAAAGAATGTTTTCCTCAAGGTAAAAAAGCTATCTTTTTCTTAGTTTTTGGCATCTTTCAACATGAACCTGTCTTACTGCAAGAAGGCAGTACGTGCAGAAGAAATTTTGTGTTCTTATTCTTAGAATGTCAATTAACTTACTAGTTCAATGTGCTAAATGTGTTAATTATTTTATAGTGTATTTATTTGCCTTGTAATGCTTATAATGAGATACCTCAAAATTTTCCAAGTGGTATAATACCCAACAAAATAATGTATAAATTAAAACACTTGGTAGTCAGGAAATAAAATAAATAGAAAAGACTTTGCATACGTGCACATACACACACAGTGAAAATGGGAAAAAGAAGTCCTGTACATTGTAATTTCGTGTGATTGCCACCAGAATTGTCACGATGACTGTGAGGAGTGCAAACCTTTATGTAAAATGTGAAATGTTATAACTGGATTTGAGAGTTCATATCATTTCTGTGCACGGGGGAATTTAAGAACATTCAGAATCGGACTCAAAATCTTATAAAGCAAAGTTTTAGGTTATACGTTTTTTAAAAAAGGTGTATCTTTCCGCATGAGCAGAGAACAGGGTATGCACAGAGAACAGCGATTTTACATTATATAATCAGTTGTATTTACCTGTGTGCGCATTTGTAATTTACCCATTCTATAACATTATGTTCAGATCCAGAAAAATGGATTTTATTTGCATCTATTTCTATGGTTTCCTTGACAACTACTGCAGATGCTGCTATCACCATGGGGATGGTTCTTCTAAACGAAGCAGCAACTTCCAAAGGGGATGTTGGAAAAAGACGGAGTAAGTCTCTATGTTGGTGTTTCTGTCTTTTTGTTTTAATAGCAAGATTCAGTCAGATGGGAAGTCTGCAAAAGCCTTTCTTGGACATAAACTTTTCCAGAATTTTTCTGAAGGGCTTTTTTTTTTTTTTTTTTACTTTTTTCTATTTCTAGGACATGTGTGTGTGCACATACTTGAAAATATATTTCCTCCAAAATGGGATTTGGTGATTGTGGAAATGTATGGGAGGGAGAAGTGTCATTTGCTTGTCAGGGGTGCTGTGATGCATCTCTTCTGAAGCCAAAGTCATTGTTATAATACCCACCAGACAGAGAGGGATGGAAAATCTTGTGGACAGAGTCTTCAGAGATTTTATGGGCATATTATATGTTCCCTGTGCTGCAAGAATGAGGTAGCACTCTGAGCCTGGCTCGGATGCAGAAGTTTCTGCATAGATTTTACACGCTGGCACATAGTACCTTCCAGTTTCTTCCAGACTTTCTTTTATTAACATTTAAAAAAGGGAACACATCTCTTGAAACTATATTCGCAAGGACCTTTACCTTTTCTTTTGATAGACCAAGATTAACAATTCCATCGAGTTCTGTAACTGTGTTTTTAAGCAAGTTAATTATATTCTTCCTTTTGATTGAATTATTCCTTTTAGAGTGTTGTGGGGGAAAAAAAGTTCTCTGCCTGGAACATAGGTTAGGAGCGGACAGACAGCCTTAGAGTTAGTGTTTCCTGGCACAGACCTTTTTATCATTAACATCAAGACCTATATGATCAAACCCCCAGAAACCTGTAATTAAAATTTTTTTTACTACACTTTGCATTTCTGAACTCTTTTTAAAACCCAGAATTTGTTTACCTGTGAGGACCGTAAGTAGCTGAAAAAGACTGATGGTTTATTAAAATATTCGCAGTTGCTCATGCCTGTAATCCTAGCACTCGGAGAAGCCGAGGCAGGAAGATCCTTGAGCTCAAGAGTTTGAGACCAGCCTGAGCAAGAACAGTACCCTGTCTCTGCTGAAAATAGAAAACTTAGTTAGGCATTATGGTCGGTGCCAGTCCCAGCTACTCCAGAGGCTGAAGCAGGAGGATCACTTGAACCCAGGAGTTTGAGGCTGCTGTGAGCCAGTTTGAGAGCGTGGCACGCTAGCCTGGGCAACACAGTGAGACTCTATCTCAAAAAAAAAAAGAAATATTTTCTTTATGGGATTTTTAGCTAGTGTGACCTGTATGTAAATGAATTACAGTGATTTCTGAATACTTAGAAATCTTAAGTATTGAAAATGTTTTGGATGTACTAATGCAGTTTAGATTCCCCTTTTTTTTCTGTGATGCTATCTAACGTGATTGTAAAGAAGCTAGAGAAATGAGCACACTATTTTGTTTACTTAAACCTTCTTGAATATCATTTTATGGTATGTTTTGGAGGAAAGAATGTGATGTTCTTGGGATTGATAAATCATATTTATGATGACATGATCTTATATATTTTTTATATATCTTATTAATGTTAGTGATAGATGCATAGTAATGTTTTTTTATATTATGTCAATACCATTGAGTTTATAAAATCACTACTTACAGCTTCCTCCTCAGTAGACGTCTCCATAATAACTTCAGCTATCACCCATGTGTGTGACCTGTTCATGTGTGTGTGTGAGAGAGAGAGACCTGGGAAATAGATGTTAAAATTATTCTGGTGTGATTTCTATTTATGGTGTGGTGCAGCCCCTACGATTATTAATAATGCTCAGGTCAGCATGTTCCGTCTTAACACTGTCCTCTCACAGGCGTGTTACCTCCCGTGGGCTGCCACGGTTCCTTTAGTAACGACTGAGCCCTCACCACACTCACGGCTTCCCCCTCCGTGGGTACCATGCTTTTACTAGACAACAATCTAGCCAGTAATCTAAAATTAAATTTCTTTTATACTGCATGATATTTGAAAAGAGTTGTTAACACATCCTAATGCGGGGCACCTGCCGATGTGGCCGATGGCCCTAGTGCAGGCTTCATAGTCCAGTTTGGGGTTTATCACAGGCTTTCTTTTGACTACTCCGGGACATTTTAGTATTTGTAGGAGCTCTAAAGATCAATTTTGTTGTTTTTATACCCAAAATAGTACATTTTCATTGAAGAATGCGGAAATAATAAACACGTATGTATTATGAATTTTCTGGTTTGTTAAGTCTGTATGTGCCATGAACTCTTAAATCTAAGTATACTGTAATTGAATGCATTTTAAAAATCTAAACATTTGGGTTCATTTGCCTGTTTTAGACACTCACGGTGTTTTCTGTCTCTTTCTAGTCATTTGCCTAGTGGGATTAGGCCTAGTGGTCTTCTTCTTCAGTTTTCTACTTTCAATATTTCGTTCCAAGTACCATGGCTATCCTTACAGGTAATGTCTTGATACTAATGGGAATGCTTTTGTTTTTAGTGTAGATTAAATAGAATTTTGAAGGTTAATATATAAGTAAGAACTAATATAAAGTAAGTCATCTGCCACGCTATTTTTAAATTCAGTTAAGCGAGTTGTGAGCACCTGCTGTGTGGTCAGCGTGGTGGGCGGCACAGAGGAGATATAAGGCCAGGGTTCTGCTCCCACGCAGGGTGTTGTTTCATTTCACAGACACATTGATTATATATGTCCGTACACTTACAGGAGAGTGAGTTTTAAACTTCATGGACGTCATCAGAAGTTCTTTGTCTAATCATCACAGTTTTGATTTAATTTGCAAAATTTGTTTTCTCATATGAAATGTTCAGTGTCCAACTTCATACACGTATTATCTTTTGAATTCTGCAAAATGTTCACTTTTCAGCATAAGAAAAGCCAATTTGAAAGGGGAAAATTAAATAATAAAATGACCTCTGGTCACTAGACGTCCTCATAATGGGTATGTTGGAAGATTTCACCGATGTATTGTTATAACTGGATGTAGAATGGTGCGGAAACTCCACTCTGAGACCACGTTTTTATTACAATCTATACTTTCACTGAAGCACAGTGCGGGTGGATGGGCCAGATTATAGTAGGTCAGCTTCCTAAAGAGGCACACATCCACTTCTTAAACATACTCCCCTCAGCTTTTATTGAAGAAATTGACTATTTTGTCTTCTCTTCAGGTAACACTTCTTTTAGCTTAGCCTGTCTTTCTCTTATGAAGCAGTAGAAAAAAGAAATTTCCTTTCCCGTATTTCCTTTCTCGGAGATTTTAAAGACTCTGCTGAGGTAGTAGGACCAGTGATACATTGACAGAAAATAAAATACAGTCATCACTTACATCTCTTCAGTGAACCCCAAAATGAACATTTTATGAAAATGTTGCTGCATAAATCATAGCAACAGACACCATTTTATTTAGGAGACAAAACTAATCACATAAAAGGGAGGTTTGATTGTAGGATTATAATGGCAACATAAGACTCTTCACCCCCACTCTCTGTTTCTCCTGTGGATAGAGGCATGTTTCCAGTTCTCTTTTTCTCACATCCATTAGAAATATACTAAAGGAATGGAAAAAATGTGGTTATCCCATTTGAGTTGTGAAATCATCTACCTTAAACCCTGCCTGCAGCATAAATATATGTTTAAAAACAGGAGCTCTGAGAGAAACAAGGAGTTAGGAGAAAGACCAGCAGCACCTGCATTTTCTTCTTTCTCTTGGTGTTAGAGAGCTAACTAGTTTTGGTTTTGAGGATGTAAAACGAACTAAAGTAAGATTAACTAATACCCAGAAAGATGTATTTATTTATTTTTCTCTTTCTCTTACCCCCAGATTGAGAATCATCATGATTCTGTATGATTTGTCTTGGTTTGATAATACGTGTGTTCTATAATGAAATCTGTAAATTAAGAGAACCATAAATACTCTGTATTTCAAGTCTTTTATCTAGAGTGCCATAAACACTTAAAAATCTATAGCACTTAAATTATGTCAAAGGAAGGGTCGTATCTCTATTATTCTAAGATAAACTATATCAGGATGTCATGGGCATAGGGAATTTATGTTTAGTGCGGAAAGTAAAGGGCAGATTTCAGCTTTCCTTGTATATTACAGCACATAATCATACCAGAATACCATTCCCTATTTAGATTGTTCTCTGCTGAACAACATAACCACCAAGAAAAATCAAGTTCAGTTTTGCTAGTTGCTTTTAATGTTGTATTTGACAGCTCTAATTTTTTATGATGTGAGGAGTTTTAAGTCTGTATTTTCCAAGGAGTAACTGTTATTTAGTACAATAACTCTTTAATGCTCTGTTTTTTTTTTTTTTTTTAAAACCAGGATAAGGCATAATAAATCACCTGGGAAGCTTTTCAAGGTTTATATTCTAAGCCAAACCCTAGATATACATACTAAGCATATCTGAACCAGAGTGTATGCCTGCTTGTTTAATTTCTGTATGAATGTGGCATTCAAACCTTTTTTGTTGGGATTAGGTTACATTGTTTGCGTTTGTTAGGAAAGGTCTGAGTTGTATTTGAGTCCTTCAGTCAAGAGGCGAGCCATAGACCCTACATCGTCTCTGTTAGGGGGGGCTTACTGAGCCCCTGCTCCCTCCCCCCCCACTTCTGGCGGGGGCTTACTGAGCCCCTCCTCCCTCCCCCCCCACTTCTGGCGGGGGCTTACTGAGCCCCTGCTCCCTCCCCCCCCACTTCTGGCGGGGGCTTACTGAGCTCCTGCTCCCTCCCCCCCCACTTCTGGCGGGGGCTTACTGAGCTCCTTCTCCCTCCCCACTTCCTGAATTTGATTGTGTTTTTCTCCTGTGAGAACGTGTAGTTGTTCATCTGCTAGTTTCAAATTAGTATTGAGTACATGGGGTGCTTATTTTTCCATTCTTGAAATACTTTACCAAGAAAAATGTTCTTCACTTCCATCCAGGTAGATACAAAAGATGTAAACTCTTTACCTTTCTTTATGGCTGAATAGTATTCCATAGTTTGCATATACCAGAGTTTATTAATCCATCTTGGGTTGATGGGCACTCGGATTGTTTCCACATCTTTACTATTGTGAATTGAACATTCACAATATTATTGCTATGAACATTTGAGTGCAGATGTCCTTATGGTAAAATGATTTTATTTCTTCTGGACAGATACCTAGTAATGGAACTGTGGGGTCAAAGGGAAGACCTTTTTTTTTTTTTTTTTTTTAAATCTCATTGAGGATTCTCCATACTTTTTTCCAAAAATGCTGTATTAGTTTGCAATCCCAGCAACAGTGTATAAGTGTTCCTTCTCTCTGCAGCCACACCAACATCTGCAGCTTTGGGACTTTGTGATGTGGGCCATGTGTTTACTTCAAGGAAGCCAAACAAAGACAGAGGCCTGTAAAAGACAAAAGCACCAAAGAAGTGATTAGGGGAGTAGCAAGTGATCTGATGGCCAGAGCATCTAAGAAAGGTGTTGACAGATTCAACTTCATCTTCTTGAACTCCTCTGTGAGCTTGAGTAGTTAGTTCTAGAGGAAGAAGATGACTTTACTCAGTGGAAGTTATAAGAGTTTGTCTTATTTTTCCCTTACATGTTAAATTTCACAAGTACAAATACGTGAAATGAAATAAGAGATAGACAAACTTGGGATCACTGATAAAATCACCTTGTTAATGAAATAAAAATTAAAATTATTTTTATATCCATCCTTTACTGAATGAAAACCACTATAGTTTACATAGTGGGAGATGTGATTCCTTTTTTTTATTTTTCTTCTAATTCTTGGTAATATTCTCTTTTCTAATCTCTTCAGATCTTTACTGAGATTTTTAATATTTCCTTCTCTCTTATCAGAATTGTGATTAGTTATCCAGTTATTCTGCTCTTCTCTAAATAATTCTTCAAATTATCTCTTCCCATATCATATTAAAGTCTTCTACTATTTCTCATCAGCCCTTTTACCTTATTTCTTTATGGAGAGTTGATCATCAGGCTTCCATAAATCCTTATAGCTCTCATAGATAATCCTTTCTTGTGATTGTTCATACTCATTTGCTTTGTCAGGTTTATATAGGATGGGTGTTCCCTTCATGACATTTGCAGTATCCAAGTACAGTGTAGAGTAGAAAACCTCCTACTGCTAATAATTCAAAACCTCCATTTCCTTTTATTATTCCAGCACATATACAAGGTTGGACAATTTAGTTAGCAAACCTGTCCTAGGAAAAGTGCTTTGAAGAGTGGACTAAGTGCTGGCATCAGTGCTTAGCTTCCTACGGGAGTAATTCATGGTACTCAGCAGTGAGATATGTAGAGCTTTACCTAGGATGAGTTCGTGAACTTAATTGTTCAACCTTCTATGTGCAAAAGTTACCTAAGCAATAGTCTATATTGTCTTGGGTTTTGTTTTTATTCTATTGCATCATTTTCCTTCTAAATAAGCTTGAGGGGGGTTCTTCAGAAATGTTATGAACTCTTGTGAATGATTCTGATGATAAAGAGACGATAGACATCAAGAGCACAGTGTTTCCTGAAAGGACGGTGAAGAGGTCACAGATGTGGCCGCAAGCAGTGGCTCATGCCTGTAGTCCCAGCAGTCTGGGAGGTGGAGGCAGGTGGATTGCTGGAGGTCAGGAGGTCAAGATCAGTCTGAGCAAGAGTGAGACCCTGTCTCTACTTTAAAAAAAAAAAAATAGAAAAGTTAGGCAGTTGTCATGGCAAATGCCTGTAGTCCCAGCTACTTGGGCTAAGGCAGGACGATCACTTGAGCCCACTAGTTTGAGGTCACCGTGAGCTATGATGCCAAAGCACTCTACCCAGGGTGACAGAGGGAACTCTGTCTCAAAAAAAAAAAAATAAAATAAAATTCCAAGATGTGGACAAATCGTGAGCTAAATTCTAAAATCCTCTCAGTACATGAGAAAGAAAAGGATCTATATTCAGTTAGATCACTGGATGATGATCTAACTGATGATGATCTAAGGTGAGTGATGGCAAAAGCAAGAGAGAAAAAATAAAATAGAAGAAAAAAATAATTCTGAGACTAACTGAAATAGGTAAGATACTGATTAAAAAGGAAAAAGCATGTTCGTGTTGAAGTGCCCTGTAAGAGAAGCTTGGTCAATTATGAACATAGCCCCGCCTTGTTAAGGAGCATTGTGTAGTCCCAGAAGCATTTATCTTACCAGCATTATGTTACATAAGAGAATGAGATACAGGAAACCATCATTCCAGGAGGTAAACTCCAAACATATTCCAGAAGGTATTTCCAAGATTTAGCCCTTATGATAGTAAAACCGTTAAGCCCTAAGGACAAAGAGCTAAACCAATTCAACCATTCATGACAGAAGTACGTATCAGTAGGCTTCCAAGGGGAGGAGAAAGGTAGTTTATCAAAACCATATTCTTGAATTCCCCAGTTTTAACATGTTACATGTTTAAAGAGATAAGTTGCAAGGACAGACGGACGTTTTTCTTCCCAGTAGCTCTTGGGAAAACCTCCTACTTCTACGTACTTCAAATAACACCTGTACTTGAGATAAGACTCAAGATATCCTTTAGTGAAAATGCACATTTGAACTTAAGGCCATCTACTACTTTTAAAAAATCTCCTTTAGTCGCAGGCTGTAGTCACCAAAGTACTTAGTTGGGTGTTAGGCCTCTACCTTTTATAGCCTTCTGTATGATGAATATACAGAACTACATCCATGATTTTCTTTATACACAGAACTATATCCATAACATTTTTCTTTCTGCATAATTTTGAGTATTATTTCATCTACAACCCTTAATTTCTTCTATGTGGAGCGATCCTGTTCTGTTTTTCATTCATTTTTATTTTTATTTTAATCTTAAGCTTCACAAAACCTTAAACATAGATGCCCTTCATCATATTTTCTCAGTGCTTCAAAATTGCTGTTTTCTCTGTTGATATATATATGCCTGCTAAAGGGATAAAAATCTGAATTCTTTCCCAACTTTTAGTCTTAATGATATATTCTGTGGTGTGAATCTGTTTTATACCACAACTAATTTCTCTTAGATTGTCTTTTAGGTTTCAATAAGCTCACTCCCCTGATTGGAATCTATAATTGGTGTGACCTTAGGCAAGTAATTTACCTTTTTTTCTTTTTCTTTTTTTTTATTGTTGGTGATTCATTGAGGGTACAAAGAACTAGGTTATATTGATTGCATTTATTAGATCAAGTCCCTCTTATAATTGTGTCCCGCCCCCAAAAGGGGTGTCACACACTGTGAACCCCCCAAACTTACCTTTCCTTAACCTAGGTTTTCTCATTTGCCAATGGAGATGATTATTCAGACCTCATTCAATTATTGTGGAGATTACAGGAGAGACTGCATGTAATCAGTTAGCAATTTGCCTGCTACATAGTATTACTCAATGAATGTTGCTAATTATTACCATCATTAATTCTGATATAAATATTTTAAATTCATTTATATTTAATACTTTTTCTAAATAGGGTTTTTCTTTGCACTGAAGATTAAGTAGATTTGTTTTATATTTGCATAATTCAAGTAAGCAAAGAACAGATTTTCCCTGAACCTTTTGATGAACTATATTAGGTTCCTGAATCCCTTGAAACTACCAGTAAAATATTGGAATTATTATGAATTTGATCTAATTAACATCTGAGCCGTAGTTCAGAAGATGGGGAAATATTATTACATGGTAGCACTGAATTCATTTTTTATATTAAATAAAATTAACTTCTATGCTTGCCCCATTTTCTAAGAAAAGCCAAGTGCTGGTAGTATTCTCCGTGGTTTCCACTGGTGCTTCATAATGGCAAAATTTTCCTCAAAAGACTTCTAAAAAAATCTATGGCACATTAAATCTGTTTTAATAGGAAAACAAAATGAGACATTTATGTTAATTTTATCACTATTTATAAAATTGTCTCAGAGAGGCAGTGTGGTATAATGGAAAAATAACAGTGATTAGAAGACCTGGGTTCAAGTGTGGGGTTTAATTTTTTTTTTCAGAGACAGAGTCTCACTTTGTCACCCTTGGTAGAGTATCATGGCTGCACAGCTCACAGCAACCTCCAGCTGTTGGGCTTAGGCGATTCTCTTGCCTCAGCCTCCCGAGTAGCTGGGACCACAGGCGCCCAGCTATTTTTTGTGGCAGTTTGGCCAGGGCTGGGTTTGAACCTGCTACCCTCAGTATATGGGGCCAATACCCTACTCACAGGAGCCATCCTGGGGTTCAATTTTGTACTTTACCTAAGAGCTCTGGTTTTGCATTTTAGACCAATCTGGGTTTGAATTTTGGATTCTTTATTCATTAATTTTGGACCTTGGAAGTAGTTTCTTAATTTCTGAGTCTCATTTGTATTCACCTCTAAAATAGTGTTTTTATGGGGTTGAAGACAGACTTAGTTGCTAGGTTTGTCTCTTATTTCTGTATCTCTTGAAAATATATTTAAGTTTGTTAAGACTATTTCTTCTTCTGTAAACTTTAATTTTATGAAGATACATTATATAATTGTTATGTAGTCCCTGAAATGTATGGGTTCTCAAAAAAGACTTCCTCTACCTCTCTTTACCTGTTCTAGCCATTTAGCACTTGATTATTCCATAGCATCCTACTGCATTGCATCTTTTGTTAAGTATTCGTTCATACATGTCTGATTCATGTGTTTGAGTCCTTTTCCTTCTAGAAAGTTGTTAGGTATTTGTGTCCATGGCAAATACCTTTTTTATATCTCCAAGGTGCTACGCACATAGTAGGTGCTCATTATACACCGTTAATTGAATCTGTTTATTCAAACATTGTTCCTTATCTACTTTCCTTAATGGAGCAGGAACCATTAAAATAGAAATATAGGAAAGAGCACTGATCGGCCACATTGCACAGTTTACATCGACTGATACTCCCTGGAGTTGTCACCTTGTTTCTAAAGACTAACTAAAGGCGTGTGGGAAGCTGTTGTTATTCCTGAAACCTGAACTCAGCTGATAACTTCTGCAACCCTACACTGATTCTGAACTGGCTGGCATCCAGCAAACAGAATGTGCATTAATTAAGCTTACAGTGGACACAGGAAGTGTCTTCCATTGTCTTAAGAAAAATCGTTCAGACGGCCTTGGGTTTTGAGAGATGATGAATAACAAGAACATAAAATGGCATTTAATAAAGAAAAGTACAGAATAACAGCTAGAAATGAAAGGCCTTTCTATAAATTTTGAGAAATGTTTGATAGTAGATAAGCAAGCACAAATACCCCAGTCTGTGCACACCGTGTATAGCAATATCACATTCATTTGTACCTCTTAGATGGACTCTTTCACCTGTAGGGAAAATAAAAATAATCTTAAGCTGTACAAATAACAAAATATAAAATGGCCTGGTGATCAGCCCACAACACATGATTGACAAAGAGTTTCGCTGGTATTGCCTTTCTCATGCTGAATCTCAGCTTTGAAGAATGACTTACAAAGGTCTGAAATTTAGAGATGAATCAGAGAAAAGCTTCAGTGTTATAAAGGCACCATTGTCTATCTCCTGTCTTTATCTAGATGAAGAATGCAGTGCTAAATCTTGTAATAATATTGTACAAATGGAAATTGAATCTTAAGGATTTTTTTTTCCATATTGTTGTATTTCATTGTGGTGTATTGGAAAGTGATCTGGACTTTGAGTGAGAAGATGTGATTTGGACCATGGCACTTAAAAACTATAACCTCAGGCAAGTCTTTTAATCTTCTCTGAGCCTCAGTTTCCCTCAGCTTTTAAATAAGGATCATAATATTTATCTTACAATATTATGTAAAGCAATTTATAGTGAACTCCTCTTTTATAAATTGTAAGGTATCTGAGAGACTATTTCCCAGTCTTTATGTTACTATATAGGGACAAGTCCTCAGGTATAATTTCCACCAATAGACTTTGACCTTTGGAGTTAACCCTGTGACAAACTCAGTATATTTCTTTAATAGTGATGCTTGTATACATATATATCCTCACCACCCCAGATAAAATAGAATTCTTTATTAACTATTCTTTGTTATCGCTTGGGGAGGAAAAACAAAACTAAAATAACCAACAGAAACATATTTAATTTTGCAAAAATGTAGTCAATTCCTTTTCCTATTAACAAATAATATAAACTTTAATATTCAAAATTTAACGAAATATAAGTCTTCCAAACAATTAACTTACCAAAACTATGGTAGAACCCCTGTAAGTTGACCACCCAAGAGACTATAACAAACTGGTCCACACACAGAGGGGTCAACACGGGGAGCAGGCCTGCTGTGCTGATACGTGCACGTGCTGCGGGGCCCCCTCTGTGGAAATCAGGTCAACTTAAGGAGGTGGTCAGTGTAGGGAGGCTGTCAACCATGGAGGTTCTACTGTATTTTTTTAAATGTACATTCAGAAGTCTTAGAAATAGATATTAGGAAATGTCACATAAATCAAAAGTAATTTTTTGTAGAAAATTTGGAATCTAGCTTTTGATTCTGACACTATGCTTCCTGCCCCTTTAAGCCCAGGAACACGGGGTCTAAGCCACGTACACATTAAACGATAGCTCTAGAAGGTTATTTCCCTCATGCCATTTGGCAACCCTCTGAAGTCAGCAAAGGAGTCGGAAGCTCCTTATGGTCCCAAAGAACTTTTTGGTCTTCATCTGTCCCTTCACATGCTACCTTTACTGTTCTCATCCCCCAGCCCCAGTACCCATGTTTCTGACCGTTCCTTGTTATCAGTCACGTCATCAACACACTCAACAGGAAGTGCGTCTCTGTGCAGGCTGTGCAGAGAACAGGCCTTAGCAATAGTAGACTTGGCAGCCTTTGTGAGATTTTACCTGCAAAATGTTTTCCACTCCCAAAGATTTCTTTCTCTATTCTTTATAAGGGCCTAAATTTCCTTAGGCCTTTTTAGAAGACTATTTGTTTTAGACTTGAAGACTTTTCTGGATTTCGTAACCTATTACACAGAAGACACCCCCAGAAGGTCTGGGGGGTTAAAGAGGTCTGCCTAACATCTGTATGTACTCCTGTTCATCATTTCCACAGAACACTTACAAATGTAGAGCACAGGTAAGAAAAGTCCCAAGTCACTGAGATGGACTAACCATAAGGTCAGTGATATAGGAATGAAAATTCATTCCCTGGCCTATCTGGGCTTAGTGAAGAAGTGAGGCCTTTCTTATCTCCTGCATATTTTTTGGATAACAATGAAATCTAAGCCCCCACCCCTTAGCCACATAAGTGATTTCTGTGAGACAGAGTGTCGCTATGGGACCAGTGGGTCTGCCTCTTTCCCCAGTTTGAGAAGAGGAAGTAAAATAGTTAAGTACACAAGAAAATTATGTCCAGCTAAAGATATCAGAGAATTTAAAAAATCCAAAATAAAACCAGCAAACCACCGTTTGGTACCTGTTCAGATACTTCTCAGGAAAGGAAAAGGAACAAATGTGCTTTCAATAGATCCTTGGTCTCCAGCGACCCAATCCAGATTTCTCTGCCTGTGACTTCTCTAGCATTTTAGCTGCTAAGCCCCTCTTTGAAACTTTATTCCCTGGATTTTGTAACATGGCACTCTTACACCTTCTGTTTTTCTTTTATATTACTTCTAAGTCCCAAATGTATTGATCGAATCCTGACCTTTGTCCCGAGATCTAGAATCAGACCTGAGAACCACATTAACCGCTCACCCTTTACAGTCTGAAATCAGCAGCATCTCTGTCTCATCCTCCTCTGCTGCCCATTTTCCCTGAGACATCGCCACACTCACAGTCTGTCAGGACAGAAACCCTGGAGCCATTGTGTGTTCTTCCTCATCCTGGATCATGTTCATTTGAATTTTGTTGCCATCACTTTTCAGTTCCCATAGTTGCTGTGTTAAGTCCACTATATCTTTTCCAGACTATCACCTGGCCTCCTAATTTACCTGCCAGGATCTAGTCACTGTCTGCACTTACTCTAGGATAATGCCAGAAGTATTTTAAGATAACACTGACTCTGTTACTTCCTCATCAAAATCTATTAAGAGCTAACAAAGAGAAACAGTTAGTATATGTATGTTTCTTCTGAACAATACAGATAAAGAAAATGAAATTCCTGCATAATCTCGACACCCAGATTATCAGTGTCAGCAGTTTAGACTACAAATATGATTTTGGACATAGAAAATGATTAAACGATAGGTATTCATAAGCTGCTTGTTCCCTACATCTTGGGCATATTTCAGTGCCTTTATTCTATAATACATATGATTTTATTGTCTTTATAAGACTATCTTTGTATGAATCACTGGGAAATGTGTTTTAAATTTGATTCCCTCCATCTCTCCCCCTGGACAGCCTTTAGTGTACCCAGTGGTTTAGTGCAGGGTTAGCAGTTGCTGCTTATTTGGCATGCCTCACGAATTAAGAATTTTTTTTATAGTTATAAATTATTTTTTTTTAAAAGCATGATATTTTGTGATGTGAAAATTATATGAAATTCAAATTTCAGTGTCTCAATATGGCTGTTTTTGCACTGCAGCAATGTAGTTGAGTAGTTTCAGGAAAGACCTATGGCTCACCAGGTTAGAAGTGTTTGCCTTCTGGCTGGTGACAGAACGGCACCCCTGCCTGGTCTGCGCACGTGGACACATGTTCATGCTTTGGCTCCTCCTGTGGTCCAGGCTGCGCTCTCTTCACTGCACTTAATATCAAAACCAGAGTTTTACTCCACTGGTTTTTGGATTCCTATAACAATTTGAATCACCATGTTATCCTTAATTGCACCCACGTCTTTCTCTTCTTTAGATAAAAAGAAAATAAGGGCCATGACTCTGAATCATTCCACTTCCTGCAGCACAGTATTCTTCTGTAACAGATGGTCAGTAGATCTTTGTGGAGTGCTTATTCCAACTGACCTGCTTTGGGACGGAACTTGACAAAGTAGCTCACACTTTGAGTCATGATTCTCCAGAAAAACTTACATTTTAAATTTCAGTCATAAACTTGCCAATGGCATTTTGGAATATTACTCCCCAGTAAATCAAGGGCAGCATTTTAATGTAAGTTCTGGATGTTTGTTAGTGTTGAGGGAATAATGAGAAGTCAGTGTTAAAGAGAGAAATGGTGTGAGATCCACCTCTTTTTATGCAGGATCTCTCTGCGTTCCTCATAGACTCTAAGCTACAGTCAAGTTGTGTGTAGCACAGACTGGAAGGGAAACTTGCACCCTGTAGGCCGGGGGGAAAGAGGCTTTGGGGGCACGTTTGTCCTGCTCTTGGCCTTATGTGAGACTCCCTGCTTTGGGAAATTCGCTTCCATCCTGTATTGCTTACTTTAGTTAAAGTTACCGTGCGTGTATTCCACTGAGAATATGCCGGCCGTGGGAATTAGCAGGTGCGCAGACTCCGCCAACTGTAGTGAGGTTCCTTCCTGACAGAGCCAAGTCTGGAGAGAAGGTGAAGCCAGAGTCGAGGCAGCTTCTTGCTCTCAGAAAATAAACTGCAACACTGAGAAGCACAAATAAGAAGAAGAGATTGTTTTTCCTGTCCTTGACAGTGTTTTTTAAGATACGGAAACATTTATATATTCTTACGATAGGCATTATCAGGAAAAATAACATCCATGCACTATTGGAACCATAGAGCTATAAAAACTAACCTTGTTAGATTATACATCAAAATGATTAGACAGGAAATGTGGAAAGAGAAGGAAATACATGTCAGACATTGATAGAAATGAGAGGCTAATCCCTTGAGTGATAATATCAATATAAAACATTTACATTTAAACACATCTTGGACATTTACTGTATGTTTAATTAAAAGTCAGACATGAAACCCTGAATGATTAACTAGGGAATAACAGTTCATGCTTTCCTAAGAAACATTTTAACACAACTCTTTGTGCTTCCAGTCTTTCTAAAGCCTTGAACAAATTCTTATACAAACTTCTGTATGATTCTTTTTTTTAATGGAAAGGGTTGTTAGATTTATCTTTCATTGTGAGATAGTTAATAGAATGATCAGTTCAGGACTAAATATTTGTCAGTTAATAGTGAGATATAACCAAATGATTGCTATAGCAGATTTTCAAAATAATTACTAAGTATTTCAATTAGTAATTCCTAGCAAGAATTTCCATCCCTTTTTTCTCTCTTTTGCCTATTGGAAGCACAGTTGACATGGGCTACACATTAAATACACAAACACTAGCGAAAGCCGATGAGCAGAAAAAAGATTCATACGTAATTTTTGTGATATCTGACACCACAGATAAACAAAACAGGCCTGAAGTAATTGCATGCGACTCCCTGGCCATAGGTAGGACACCCTTGCCAAAGTGAGTGACAGCATAATAAGGATTATGCTTATTATGCTTAATCCTTAAACTAAGGATTAAGATCTGTTTTTATTGGGTGGGTCCTGTGGTTCAAGGAGTAGGGCACCAGCCCCATATACCAGCAGTGGTGGGTTCAAACCCGGCCCTGGCCAAAAACTGCAAAAAATAAGGAATCTCTTTTTATTTTAAGAATGCCCTCACATGAATCCTTTTACTCTGTGAATATATCAACATGTTTTTAAACCTTTCTTGCTCTAAAAAGTTAGGGGAATACAAAAATATCATAAAGGATCATATTACTTGTTTTCACATTTGCAGTAGCAGGATCTTTAGCAATAATGAATTGTTATCTTTCGTGCCCCCAAAGCTTGAAATTTTTCAATCAATCTTGTAAAAGTGAAACAAAACAAAAAAAATCCTACACATCTTTAGTTTCGAGTTTAATTTTTCCACCTCTCATTCCATTTTAAAATATGTTATGATCAAGTTTTCTTTTTTCATTAACCCTCATTCTTCACGTAGCTTCATCTTCAGGGCAGGCTTATAATTGTGGGCAGAAAATGCCAAAGACTTCATCTGTGAGGGACGTATCTGTCTGCTTTGCCAGCACCGGTTTTAAGGATTATTGGATTGAAGAGCAAGTACAGCTTAATGCCGTGATGAGGTTTACCGCTGACATTTTCCTCATGAAGAGAGTTCCCCTTGTAACTGTCACTCACGTCTTATCTTGAAAAACACAAGCCAAGGCTGCATCCTAATAGCTCCACACTTTCCATCTTTTCATTTAACAATTCCTCAGACACAGACACACATAGAAGTTATTCTAGTTTATATTGAGTCCCTGTTTCCATTTTAATACATATTTCATGTGATGTTTTATGATAGAATGTTATATATTTTAAAATATCTATTTAGTTTTAGCACATAGTGTCGGTAGAATCATGAGACCTCAGCACTGGAAAGAACTTGGTCCTCCAAAACAACCGCTCTTTCCACTAATGAGGGGACGGAGGTTCAGTAAGACACAGCAGAACTCGCCTAGGATATTCTGAGATCCGCAGGAATGAACTGACTTCAAATAGTCCTTCCATCTACATGACTGTTTTTCAGCTACAGTCACCATAAATTTCAATTTAGCTGTAATATTTAATTAAAAACAGGTTAGTCACTGGTTGTCTTGCAAAGTTGTTTTAGTTTGTTGAGATTTAAAAAGAACACGCCACATAGCCACATTCTTGGTAGAAAGATACAGACAAAAGCTTAGTAAACGTTACTTAAATTGCCTTATTCCACAAAATTAAATTTCTGCTTAGAAATTAAACCTTAGGGAATTTTTAAAAACTGAAATAGTTGCCTTTTACTTGTATTTCTTGGTACTTTGCATTTGTTTGTGCTGATGTTTCATCAGAATCTGATGACCATTGATTGATGTATATATTCTGTTTGGCTGTTCAATGTGATGAAATTGTAAAGTATATCAACAAAAGACAGAGTGTTTTAAGTAACTTTTTTATGTACGTAAATGAATTATAGATTGAATGATGAGAAAAATATTCTTTGTAGGACTTTCAAATGACCCCTTCAAATATTTGTTTCAACTCATTCCCCTATTTCCCTATAGAACCACTTAAATGCTAATTTAACTATTGCTCTAACCAACTGTTGCTCCAACAACGAGATATTCACATGAATTTAAACAACCAAAAATTCAAGTTGTCAGTGTCTTTTCTCACCCATCACCCTATTCTTACCATAAGCCTGATGCTATTACAGGAACTAACTTTTAAAAATTTGCTTGATAGAAAAATTACAATTACTTGGTTTAATATAATTACAGCATTTTAATGTTATTTGCATATATTAATGTAAAACAATACAAAGTATGTCATATTTCTTTATGTTCAACACATCATTTTCTTTCTTTTTCAGCTTTTTAATTAAATGAAGCCAAGTGGAATTTGCATAAAGTGAATGCTTACCACAAGATAAACTGTTCCTGACATTGTTATTTTGAATTCTCGAGTTTATTTCTTTGCTCATTGTGATTGCTGGCTTATTCTTTGTATTTTTTTTTAAGTGTGGATTTTCTGAGTAAATTTAATTTATAGAAATGATGGTAACATTTCCTATGTACAAAGGAAACATTGACGTGTTTTTAAGCCTATTATATGACTCAGTGTATGCCACAGGATTGAAATAAATGACAGTGTAATTATGAATTCATGTTTTAGAACCATTTACTCATTAGTAAAGGAAACCACGGTGTTTGCAAAAGGAATCCGTGAAATGTATGTTAAAGAATGCTTAGTGTTATGCCAGGATAGATCATATGCATGAAACTATGCCATGTACTGAAAATTACATTTACTGCAGTTTCAGTTATAAAGACATGCATTGTTCAAATAGTGTTTTGTTCTTATTAATCATAACTATATAGAGGTGTACAAAATAGGGACTGGGATGAATGATGCCGACAGCTTAGGGGCCTCACCTGGGAAAAGGAGCTTCTTCCTGAGATTTAAATCTAAACCACACATTCATGAAATCAACATTCCTCAAAGGAATCAGGCAGTGGAAACAAGACACCACAACTAGGAATTAATATGTCTCTAGCTTTGGAAGTGCCATCTGGGAGTCTAGACTAACAAGAGCAAACCTAACCCTCTGTGGCCACTTGCCTTTTGCGTTTCATGGAAGCTGCTTGCATCAAAAGCTCTTTTTCCGAATCTAGACAAAGGGTTAGTTGTCCTGGGATGAGTGAGTAACTCAGTGAAGCTTTTTTGAGATCCAGATACCAGAGTTTAAACATTATTATATTTGTATTTTAGTTTGTAAGGCACTTTGACAGACATTATTTGTTCCTCATCTTTGTAAATTAGACAGGAAGTAAGTTTTTTTCCTGGCTTGTAAAAGTAATGGAAGCTAAAAGCCAGAAATGATTTTAAAAAATGGAGCTCATATCTAGGCTATCAAACGCTTAAACCTGAATTTTTATATTCTGTGGAACTACCCAAAGGTGGATTTAAGAAAGGAGTTCTTTAGTTTGTTCAATAAATGTTTACTTTCTCTTTTTTAAGACATATTCTCTGATTTTCATTAAGATCTGATTAGTAGACTGTGGAGCCTTTTGTTCATTGCAAGTTTCGGCTCTATATCCTCAAATGGGAACCAGATATACGTCCACAGAGTTTACTTATTTTGTACCTGTGAATTTCAATGAAGAATGGGAAATATAGACGCTCACCAGGGCATGCTTATCAAGTTATATTCCAGGGAATAGGCTAGCGGGATGAAAGCTATCTTCTCAAAACATGGCAGTCTTGGTGAAAATTACATAACAATTTAGACCTATATTAATTAAGCTTATCACACACTCTAAAATATATTATTAAAAATGGCATTGATCTCCCTAGTTCCTATCTGTAGGATAATAAACTTGGTATTGGAATGGCAGTATCTGACTTTGTTCAATACCTATCCCTATGTGGCACCTGACCTGTAATTCTTAATCCATTGCATATTTTTTACATTCTCTGAAGTTCTGAATGGAGTTTAAGGCCAAATTTTAAAACAAATAATAAATATTTATTACAACTAACTTTTGCTTGTCCTCTTAAATCTCAAAATTATCTTCCAGGTGGGATGCAGTTGATTAAATGGTATTGACAAAACACAGGTTCTCTCTGTAAAATTACTAGTGTTCAATGACGATATGGTCATTGTTTGACCCTCTGAGTAAAATAAGAAATTCTTCATTCCTAAACCATGTTAGTGTTCTAGCCTGTATTTTGTAATTTCCTCTGAACATTTAAAATAAGTCCAATAATTAAAAATATGTTACTTAGAATTTTATAGTTTAAGGGGCTTTGGCTTCTCTGTAGACAGTTACTTAGGGAGGTAAATTTGAGGGAAATGAACTCTGTCAGAATAATTCATTGTTGACTGGAAAGTGCTATAGACAATGAAACGACAAAGACTAGCTCAAATACAGTTTGCTGACAAAGCGTCATATGTGCCAACCCACAAACACAATGTATTTACCTTTGCTGAACAGAATTGGTATCTGGTGTGCTAAATTTACCACTCCAGTGTCATTTTACCAGAATCACTGTGTTGTAAATGCTCGTAAAAATTATGTTTAACAATCTCCTGTTAGTACTTTTTAAAAAGTGCTCTTCTACTAAATTGGAGAGAAAAATCCTAACAAAGTTCCATCAAAGGAGTTTCAATTTATAATAACGTCTGATGAATGACTTCTGTTGCATTTTGCTCAAATGCTGTTCTTTGCATGAGATATTCTCAGCCATGTTCTGTGCTTACTGTAATGTTTTATTACCCATAAAAATAATATCCTTTGTCATTACAATTAAGTGTGCATGGTGATTTGGGAGATTAGAGCTTGCTGTGCCAGAGAGCTTGAGTAGTATTCTTTTTCTTGGTGTTACAAGAACCTCCACAAGGGTACCTGAAGGGAGTGCTTATTCTAAATGAGGCGTGACAATAGCATTATTTTCAACAAATGACATTGAACATTGTCTTTTAAGAAGGACTGGTGACAGGGACAAACATGCCAGCTAGAGCATCTAGAGGCAAAAGATTTGTTTAGGGGTATTTTTTTAATTTTTAATTTTTTTATTGTTTGGGTTTCATTGAGGGTACAAAGAATTAGGTTACACTGATTACGTTTGTCAGATAATGTCCCTTTTATAATTGTGTCCCGCCCCAAGAGGTGTACCACACACTGTGACCCCCCCATCCCGTACCCTCCTCCCCTTTCCCCACTTGCTCATTCCCCTACCCACCCACTCCCTTGTATTAGCTCATCTACTGCCTTCATATTAGAATAGAGGACATTGGATTCTTCTCCATTCTTGTGATGCTTTACTAAGAAGAAGGTGTTCCACCTCCATCCAGGTTAATACGAAAGATGTAAAGTCTCCATCTTTTTTAATGGCTGAATAGTATTCTATGGTGTACATATACCATAGCTTACTACTCCATTCCTGGATTGGAGAGCATTTAGGCTGTTTCCACATTTTGGTGATTGTAAATTGAGCTGCAGTGGACAATCCAGTGCAAATATCCTTATGATAAAAGGTTTTTTTTTTTTTTCTTTTTCTTTTCTGGGTAGATGCTTAGTAATGGGATTGCAGGATCAAATGAGAGGTCTAACTTGAGTTCCTTGAGGATTCTCCATACTTCCTTCCAAAAAGGTTGTATTAGTTTACAGTCCTACTAGCAGTGTTAAAGTGTTACCTTCTCACCACATCCACACCAGCATCTGCAGCTTTGAGATTTTGTTATGTGGGCTGTTCTCACTGGGGCTAGGTGATATCTTCGGGTGTTTTTGATTTGCATTTCTCTGATAATTAGGGATAATGAGCATGTTTTCGTATGTTAGCCATTCGCCTGTCTTCTTTAGAGAAGGTTCTATTCATGTCTCTGGGCCAGTAATATATGGAATTGTTTGCTCTTTTTTGGTTGAATAATTTGAGTTCTCTATAGATCAGTGGTTCTCAACCTGTGGCTTGGGACCCACAGGAACTGCATTAAAGGGCTGTGGCATTAGGAAGGTTGAAAACAACTGCCGTAGATCCTAGTAATCAAGCTTTTGTCCAGTTCATAATAAGCAAATATCTTTTCCCATTCTGAAGGTTGTCTGTTTGCTTTGGTGGTTGTTTCCTTAGCTGTACAGAAGTTTTTCAGTTTAAGTCTCGTTTTCTTTTTATAATTGTTGTCATGGTCACAGACGTCTTCTTCATAAAAACTTTCTCCAGGCTAATATCTTCAAGTGTTTTCTCCACACTTTCTTTGACGATTGTTATTGTTTCATGCCTTAGATTTAAACCTTTTATCCATATTCAATCAGTTTGTGTAAGTGGTGACAGGTGCGGGTCCAGTTTCAGTCTTTTACATGTGGTTATCCATGTAAGACTGGTTATTCCAGTCTTTCACAGCTGGTTATCCAGTTCTTCCAGCACCATTTATTGAATAGGGATTCTTTTCCCCAGTGTATATTCTTGTTTGGTTCACAAAGGTCAGCTGGCTATAAGATGTTAGTTTCTTCTCACGGTTTTATATTCAGTTCCAAATGTCAATGTCTCTGTTTTTGTGCCAATACCATGCTTTTTAAATCACTGTGACCTTATAATTTAGCTGCAAGTCTGGTAGGGTGATACCCCTGATTTTCTTTTTATTACTAAGAATTGCCTTGGCTATATGGGGTTATTTCCAAATCTTGAAAGTTTGATGATGGTATTTTAATGGAGATTGCAATGAACCTATAGATTGTTTGGGGAAATATTGACAGTTTGACAATGTTGATTCTTAGCCATGACCATGGGTGTGTTCTTCCATTTGTTAATATCTTCTGCTATTTCTTTCCTTAGGGTTTTGCAGTTTTCTTTATAGAGGCCCTTCACCTCTTTCATTATGTATATTTTTAGGTATTCTGTTTTTTTGGAAGCTATTGTGAAAGGAATTGTGTCTTTGATTAGCTTCTCACCTTGGCTGTTATTGGCATATACAAAGGCTATTGATTTTATGTCTTGAGACGTTGCTGTATGTTTTGATCACTTCCAGGAGTCTTGTGGTTGATTCTTTGGGGTTCTCTTAGTATAAGATCATATCATTGGCAAAGAGCAAGAGTTTGACCCCCCCTGCCCCCACTTGGATGCCCTTTATTTCCTTCTCTTGCCTAATTGCATTGTCTAGAACTTTCAGCACTCTGTTCAATAGTAGTGATGATAGAGGACAACCTTGTCTGGTTCCAGTTCTAAGTGGAAAAGCTTTCAGTTTCCTTCCATTCAGTATGATAATAGCTGTGGGTTTTTTATAGATGGCTTCAGTCGTTTAAAGAAACGTGCCTCTATGCTTAGCATTTTTAAGTGTTCTTGTTAGGATGCTCATAGTGGGATATTGCTGTAACAAAGACATACAGTCATGGATGTGGCTTCGGAACTGGCCAGTGAGCAGAGGAACATGCTAGAAGCAAGCCCAATTGCTCATAGCAGGATGAGCAAACAGCCCAAGTAAAAATGGGCCGTTAAGTATGCCTGACGTTTACAAAGCAGGACCCTTAACCAGACAACCAGGACATCAGGAGACAGTGAGGAGATGAAGAAGAGAAATAATGATGCCTGGCAAGAGACAGGTTGGGTACGCTGCAGCCATGGTGATTAAAGCTCATGTAGCTCCCAGAATGGGAAGAGTGAGAAGACAGCCTTGTAAATGGTGTTTGCTTTATTTGTAAACCAAGGAAAATACAATTTTTCCTCTTGTGGGGCATGACTATTATTACACCTATTCAATAAACATAGAGTTCATCACTTTCTTGTTTTTGTTTTTATTTATCTGTTTGTTTATTTTGCCCAGAACTACGTCCTTATTGGTCATATCATCCATCTGTGTTCAGTCTGAGAAACACTGATCAGATGAAAGACCAGATTCTTAGGTTACTCAAATGAAGCATATCTTCTCAAAAGAAAAGCTGTTCGTGTAACCAGGGACTCAGGATTGGGCTACCTGTAGCAGAAGATGGCTAATCACGGTCATGCACAGCGGTCACTCCAGCACTACATGTAAAAACCGAAAATTAAGAGGTACATGCAGTTATTTTGTGTACTGCATCAATTGCAATAATTGCTGGGTAAAAGCAGTTTTCACGTCAGGTAAATGCATGTTCGTACAAGCAACTTCTGGTGATGTGAGCTGGGAGAAGATAACAAGAATTAAATACAAGAACAGGAGCGGCGGTGAAGAGTGGAGCGGTCCACTTCTCTCTTCTCAGAGTTCACTTTCTTTGGTCATGATGCTCAAGGCAGCAAGGGAAAAATGCCCTCATTTCATATTGCTCATAAGGTGCTTTTTAAAAAAATTTTAAATGATTTTTTTTATTTTAATATGATTTCTCTTTCAGGCAATACACTTG